TCTTTAGCAGCACAGCCCTGCCCTGACTAAGAACGGCCCACCCTTTCGCAGGCCCCTCACCACTCCTGTCACCATGTGCTGCCCATGCACAGGGCTGTACAGACGCTAGACAGGCCAAAGCCAGCAAAGCCCTAGGGGTGTCAACCACGTCCCCTTGCCTGCTGTCAGCCCCCAGTGGCTGCCTGTCACTGAGCTCAGAGTGAATCAAAGGTGCATGCCTGTGCCGTCCCTGGGAGATGAGTTATTGAGTTTCCTGCCAATCTTATGCCAGGCTGGGATGGCAGCCTTCGAGCCTCAGAGAGCCTTTGGGTCTTTTTCAGTGAAATGTGGTGTGATGACATGTGTCCATGTGACAAGTACCACTGGGCGGGGAGCCTTACTTCTGAGGGCCCAACTTGAACAGCGGAAAGTATAGGATTACACGACATTGGGAAACCACAAAGCTCAAGTTTGGGTTGAAAGGAACAGAGGGACTCTAGGGATAAAACTTAAACATTAATAAAAAATTAAAAATATTTTTTAAAAATGCTGCCACTTAGTGAGCCCTTATGATATGTCAGGGCATTTGAAATGAATGGCTCCCCCTGGAGTTGTGCGGCTGGCTCTGTGGATAGACGTGTGCTAAGAGCTGTACACATGCTGTGTATTTTTCACAACCCTCTTTCAATAGATAAGAAAACTGGGACCTGGTCAGAAAGTCAAACACACAGGGGCAAGAAGCTAGGACGCAGGAGAGACAAGACAGAAGTGTGGTCTGACTGCCCCAGACCCCAGGCCTGTGGGACCAAGCAATGCCACTGCTCCTGGGTCTCAGAAGAGAAGTGCCACCCCCTTCGATGGCGGGTATAAAAATTCATGTCCCACCAGAGAAAAGCAGAGGCGCTTGCCCCGGGCGCAGAGTGCAGTGGCACAGGTGCAGCGCGGGTGCCGGGATGCCTGGCTGCCAGGCAGCCCTGCCAGGCTACCTTCTCCATGCCTCAGTTTACTCATCTGAAAAAAGGAATAGA